GCCGCCGGCGGCGGCGGCGGAGGCCGCCCCGCCGGCGCCCGCCGAGGCCGCGGCGTCCGTCCCCTCGTCCCAGTCTCCACCGTACTCTTCTCCGTATCCCTCGTCGGCCCCCTCCTCGCCGGACCCGTCGGCCGCCGCGGCGTCCTCGGCCGCAGCGCCGGTGTCCTGGCCCTCGCCGCCGCTGCTGCCGCTGTCGCCGCTGGGAGCGTCCTGCTGCTGACCGCCCCCCTGTGCTCCTGCAGAGGCCTGGCAGGGCAGGGGGCGGAACCACATTAGTGTGCACCGCACTAGTCATCATGCATGAAGTGGAATGTGGGTGAGGAAGAGATCCTACGGCTGCCTTCAACCTTTCCACAACCGCCTCTCTGCGATCTGGCTAAACACGAGATCTGCTGCTGGCCAGAGGTGCCGCAAGCACCGGCACGCTTACCCGCGGGCGGCCTGGCATCGTGACCGAATGCCTGTGCCGCCGAGCAGGCATGCGGCGCGCGCTGGGGCCGCTCATTGTGCTGCAGCAGAGCGCGGCGCCGAGACAAGCGCCAGGCGGGCGGAGCAGGGCCCGCCCCAATGGCCGGTGCAGCAGTGCATCGGCCACGATTCCGGCCTTGGCTAGGCGGTATTTATAAATAGATTGCAGCATCAGGCCCCGCTCCCGCCGACGGCCAGCGGGCGGTCTGCCCTGGGACTGATCTTGGTTTCCAATACAGGCCTTGAGCTTTGATCGATCAATCGATTTCATAGCATTCGTTATTATTATAGTTGATACGAAGGGAACGCAAGGCGTGCGACAGCCAACGGACCGGGACTCCATTATCCCGCGCGTTCCAACCAGCAGGGTCGCCCCTCCCCCGCGCTTGCAGCCATGAGCGTATTCTCGCTGGCTCTTAGGACTCTCGAGGAGCGGGCCTCTGAGGACAGCCGCAGCTGGCAGGAGCAGTTTGCGGCGCTCGGCGGTGCCCCTTCGGACAGCGTCAAGCCACCCTGCCTCGGCGCCCCCGCGCCCCCGCCCGCCGCCGCACCCGCCCCGTGCAGCTGCTGCTGCGGCCCCGCCGACGACCTGGACAAGTCGTTCGTCGTCGACCCGACGCTGTCCGCGACCAACGCATGCGGATATGCAGTCTTCCAGGGCCTGCCCTCGCCCTCGGACTTTTGGGCGGCGGTCGTCGCTGCGCGCTGCAGCGCGGTCGTCGTGCTCGGCCATGGTGCGCAACACTCACCACTACGCCGCACGCTGAATCTTGCCGCTGGCGCCGCATCCCTCGCCGCCGCATGCGCCGGAACAGCGCGCCCCGCGGACGTGGGGCCCAACTGACTGCCCATGCATGCAACTGACAGCATGCGCGCGCACGCTCGCGCGCCCGCCGCCGTCCCACCGCATGCGCAGACGACCGCCATGTGAGGGCCTTCTTCAAGTCGTCCGACCCCGAGCAGACCAGCATCGCCCTCCCCAACGGCCGCACGCTCAGGTGCGCCCTGCCCCCAATCCCTGCCGCCCACTCCACCGCCATAACGCGCCCCATTGCGCGGGCGCCACGCCCCGCTGCTGCACTGATCGGGCGCCCCCCTCACACCCGGTCCCAATCCACATCTGCACGAGCGCTCATCACGCTCCGCCGCCCGCAGGCTCCCCGCATCGCCGCCGCCGCGCAAATCTGTCCACCCCCTCCCACCACGCGCACCCCAGTCCGGCCCCCGCCGCCCTGCCGACCCCACCCCGAAACCCCCTGATCTCTATCCTATTGCAGGAGCGTCCACCGCGTGCCGTTTCCCGCAGAGGGGCTGGTGGTGCGCCAGCTGGAGGTCGCCGGGCCCAGCGGCGAGGGCGAGCTCTGGTGAGTGATTACGACCGCTCTCTCCTCCCCTCCCCTCCCGTCCCGTTATCTTCGCCGCACACGCGGGCCGCGCCGCGCCGCGCCGCGCCCCGGCGCCGCTCGCGTGCGGGACGGGACAGCCCCTGAGACGCTGCGCCCCGTCGCACGCCTGCCCGCTGGTGATTGAGCGGAAGAAAACTCCCAACACAAGCGCTCAACACCCGCTGCTCCCGCCGCCGCCGCCGCCGCCGCCGCCGCCGCCGCCAGGATGAACTTCCTGCACCTGGCGTCGTGGCCGGACTACGGCGTCCCCTCCTCCACCCTCGGGATGCTGCGGCTCTGCAAAGAGCTGGAGTCCTGCCGCCGCCCAGGGGCGCGCATCGCAGTGCAGGTGCGCGGCCGCGGGCGCGGGCGCGGGCGCGGCGCGGATGAGTGTCTTTGAAGGGGCGCCTCTGCCTGTGAAGCCCGGTGCGATTCGGAGTTGGGAGCAGCGGGAGGCGGGACTGTTGGTTGTGGGGGTGGCCAGCGCCGGATAGGGAGGGTGCATGGCTGTCTGCAAGCGGCGGGGACCTGCGGGCTCGGCGCGCCGCGCGCACGGCATCGGCCGCGGCCTCATGCGCGTTGCGGTTTGCAAACCGAGCCGGCGCGAAGTGTCCACACCCGCGAACCCCTGGTGCCTCTCCGCCCTTCCCGTGCCCCTCGGCGACGCGACCCCCGCAGTGCTGCTGCGGCACGGACGCCGCCCTCGGCGCCTGCCCCGCCGGCGCGTTCATCGCCACCGACATGCTGCGCCAGCGCCTGCAGGCGCTGCAGCTCGCGCCCTTTGGCTCCGTCGACGCGGCACGCGTGGCGGAGGCAATAGATGTTCCTGAGCTTGTGCGCTCGCTGCGCCGCCAGCGCAAGGGGCTGGTGGAGACGTCGAAGCAGTACGCGTTTGTGTACGCCGCGCTCGCGGACGAGATAAGGGATGGCCTGCGGATGGAGCGCCGCCTGCTGCCGCGCGGCATGTCGATGCGCGCGGCGGGCGCGGCGCGCGGCGG